TCATCTCATTAGCAGTTGGGTACATTTCCCAAGGTTACAAATAGAAATTGGGTTCTACCTCCTTCAGGTGCTGGCATTCTTTATTACTCATTTCCTGCCTTTTGCCCTTTCCTAGGGCAATGTCACACACAGTCATCTAGACTCAGCCACTATCTAGATGCCAACACACTTTCAAATCCTTCTTCCCAGGGTGCCTGGCTGGCTCATTAGTAGAACACATGACTCTTGATCCCAGAGTCATGAGTTTGAGTCCCATGGTGGGGTAGAGTTTACATAATAAAAAAAATAATAATAATAAATCGCCCTTCTCCCCACCCAGACCAGTAGCTATCTCTAGTGCTAAAGCTACTGGACTCTAAATGCACCATGTATCCTCAGCCTCAATGTATCCCAAGCTGAACTCTCTGCCTGGAACTACCCTATCCAATGCTCTTGTACTTCCTTAGTGGGTGGCAACCATCTGTCCACACAGTCAGTCCAACTGGAAACCTAGATCGTCTTCATTCCTCACATATGGTCACCAAATCCCATCAACCTTAACCTTAAATGTCTCTTAAATCTGCCCCCTATTCTCTATCACACCTGCTGCTACTTTACATTATTTCCGTCTAGACAACTCATATCTCCTCGGAGTCTCCCTGCTTCCAGTCTGCATCCTATATATTTCTCCATCACAGCACTTATTATTCAATATTATAAATTCTGCTTATTTGTCTCTCCAAATATCCTATGGGTTATTTGAGGATAAACACAGTGTGCTATCTCTTCCTAGTCTGAGAACTTAGTATAATATCCTGCAAGGAGTATGTGTCCAATTAACATTTACTAATTGGATAAATAAGTCCTACACCATCAGATCCCAAGATGTCAGACATTTAGGGAAATGGGTTCACCAATAAAATTCCTGCTCACCACTCCTCATCGTGTTACAGCTAACCCTGTGAACTCATGGAGTCATCACTGGTTTAAATTTGTGCTCTGTGTTCTAGGTTCCTCTGAAGCGACCCTTTCCTACCTTCATACATGTTGGGCTCTCATGTAAGATGTTTGCTCTTTCTCCCTCTCCTTTCAAAACTCATTCCTAGTAAAAGATTTCATCTGTTTTTTATTCCTATAGGTATTTGCAGGTTAGGATGTTCTAATTACAGAAATCGACCTCTGGTCCCATTCAAGAATTGTGAGGCTTTGGCAACAAGGTACGTGGGTGAAGGAGACTAGTGTGGGAGGGAGCAGAGAGAATTTAAGAGAGAAACTGTTTGGCCCCAAAATCATAGAACCTGACTATAATTATTGTTCTTCTGCACTTGGCCAGCTCTTGCCCAAAAGCCCAGGCTTGTTTTAGCAGCTGCTCTCCACCCAAAATCCTGTTCCAGAATATTAGCTCACTATCTGGACATGACATAAAGCATGTCCAGATAGTGGACATACATTAAGCTCTGCTTTATATGTAACAGGAAGAAAACAAAACCGTTGTTTTCAGACTTAGCTATAGTCTGGGCCATGTGGGTTAAGAGGAAGATAGCATTCCTCAAGGAGAAGACTTTTGTTTCTTCTGGGAAACCATCCTAATGGATTTCTAGAAAGTAGAGAATCTAAGAAAATTTAGCATCAGCACAATGAGGGAGAAGGAAATTGGGGTCTCTAGGGGCTGGGGGAGGGTCCTTGTAGAGAGAGGAAGACCTACCAAGATGGCGGCAGGTGGAGGTTCTGAATACGTATGAGAAATAGTACTGTACTTTCTGTTCACTTTTTCTGTAAAGCTAAAACTGTATGAAAAATTAAAGCCTATTAATTAAAGGAAAGAAAGAAATAGCCCTGGTCAATGAGAAACTTCTTATTCTGGACATGGTCTGAGAATATTAGGACAGCTGTTGCCTGTTCTGGACTATACCTTCCCTCCATTATCCCAAACCTTCAGTAAAGTCTGCTGAATTAGCTGCCTTGTGTTAGTGGTATTTTGGAAAATAAAGAGACATGGTAGCCAATGTGGAGTGAAGCAATGCACAAGGAGCAGCATTCATGAAGGGAAGCCAAGAATTTGGTACTAGAAAGAATTTGGAGCAAGAGGGGACCACAAGAATGCAAACCTCAAGGACCCTTGGGGTGTGTGGGTAGCTCAGTCAATTAAGTATCAGCCTTCAGCTCAGATCAGGATTTCAGGGTCCTGGTATCAAGCCTGATATTGGGCTCCCTGTTCAGTGGGGAGTGTGCTTCTCCTTTTCCCTCTCTCTGCCATGCATGTTCTTTCTCTGATAAATAAAGTCTTAAAGAAAAACAACCACCTCAAGAACTCTCAAGAACTGTGTTGCCCCATACTATAGCCACTAACTACAAAAAGCTTCTTTTTAAAAAGATTTATTTATTTTAGAGAGAGCGAGCGAGCACGCAAGGGGTGGGGAAAGAGGAAGAGAGAGAGGGAAAGCAGCAGACTCCCTGCTGAGCACAGAGCCCAATTTAGGGCTCAATCTCATGGACCTAAGATCATGACCTGAGTCAAATCAAGAGTCAGATGCTTAACTGACTGAACCACCCAGGTGCCCCTACGAAGGGCTTTTGAGCACATGAAATGTGACTCTTCCAACCTGAGATGTCCTATTAAGCTAGTATGAAAAAAATAATGTCAAATATCCCAATAGTTTTTACATTAATAACATGTTGAAATAATATTTGGGGTATACAGAGATAAAAGACATTATGAGACTAATTGCACCCACTCCTTTATACCTTTTTAATATGGTTATTCAAAATTTTAGATACATACGTGGTTTGCATCATATTTCTATTTGAACAATGTCACTTTGGAATCTGAGTAAAAGGAATGAACTTGCCAGGGTATAAGGACTTGAGGAGCTTAAGCCACTTTCGTTGGGTATTAAAGAAAAGGAATTGGGAACATAAGACAACAGATGTTGACAGATTGAGTGTGAGAAAAATACATAAAATCTTTAAAAAAAATAAAAATAAAAATAGTTCCCACAAATAGCAAGTGCTCCCAAAATATGATTCAATTTATATAAACACTTGACTTTTCAGGAACACATTTGTAGCATGAAAGAAAGACTGAGGGACAACGTTCCAACATAAATAACTTACATTCAGTCCTTAGATTTAAACTAGAAGAGAAAAATAGCAAGGAAGCTTCTACCCATGGGGGATAAACATACACATCTTCTAATTTCTTAGTGTGTTAAACATTGTGACTACCCAGACCCGAGACTAACACTTTGTACTTTCAATTAGAAATACAGAACACATGCAAGGCCCCCATTGTCTGTGGTCCGTATCTATTGCAGACCAAATCTACCCCTTGAGCCATGTCCCAGGAAATTTAGGAGCAAAATATAAAACAGAATGTAATGCCTGACTCTAAGTTGACCAATCGGATATAATCAGAAAGCATTTTTTCTCCTACATTCTAAGAGACTCTAATTTGGTAACTCTGGGTTCTCTGTTTTACATTGTTCTGTGTATATAGAATTGGCAAACTTCAGATGTGGAATGACTTAAATATCACATGTTCTAATTTTTTTTTTTAAGATTTTATTTATATGAGAGACAGAGAAAACGTGCAGGGGGAGGGGCAAGGGCAGAGGAGACACCTGGCTAACCAGGGACCCAGTTGCCAATGCTGGCTGGATCCCAGGACCCTGAGATCATGATCTGAGCCAAAGGCAGACACTTCACCGACTGAGCCACCCAGGCACCCAGAGGTCTAGCCTCTTTATTGTACAGATAAGGACATGGGGCCAGAGAGAGACAGGTAAGGTGCCTGAGATCACAGATCTACTTAGTGGCAAGGGCAAGCTGCACAGAGTGACAGCACAGTCAGTATGCTGGGTGTGACCCTCATGTTTCTTGAGAGCCAACTGGAGTTAGGGATTTCTGGGACTGCCTCCGCAGGGTTTGTGGAAGGGCTACAGAATCCCTCTATAAAATGTGCATTACGGCCTTTTGTCACGCTTCACAGGAGGTAAACTGATGTCATCCGCTCCTCTTCCATCTTCCATGTTAATACTCTTTCTCAGAAAAGTTTGCCCTCAGTGAAACAAACAGCTGTGGACTCCAGATAAGCCCCTGCCCCCCCCACCCCCGTTTTTATGTATTTGACGGTCACTAGGTAGCCTGGCGTCTACTTGAGAGCCTCCCTGGCCATGGATGGATGGCTTAAGATGGCAATGCTGAGTTCAAAAATTAAGACACTGAGAAGGAATGCAGTTTCCAGGGATGGGAGTGACCAGCACATGTGGGGGCCAGAGAGAGCTATAGAACAGGCTCATCATCTTGTCTCTCCCCCAACCCTCCTCCTGTATCCCTCAGCCCAGCCCGAGCTCCCCACACGTCCAAAGCTCAAGGAACCTGTTCCTCAAAACACAGAAACCACTCTCTTCCTCCTCTCTTTCCCTACTCAGCCCCACCCTGGTTCCAGAATAACAGGTCAGCATACTTCATACTGAGATGCCAACAGTGACAAACCCCAAAAGGGAGGCTTGTTAATGGAAATCAACCTCTACTTGTTAGCTTCTTGGAGAGCTTCCAAGAGTTGTTGACGAACTCTCACTTCTGAATGCACACACGCACACATACGTTCCCCACTTACCCACAGGATCTGGTGATGTGGAACCCTAATCTTACAAGCTTGCCAGCCCTCCTATAAATAATGGCTGTTGGGACAAGGTGACTTTGGGGTAAGAGTCCCTCCTTTCAGGGTAACATAAATATACAGTAAAAAACACAAAACTGCAGTTTTTACTGCTTTCACTCATCCCAGGATCAGGACCCTCCCTCAATAAACACCAAAAGACCTGTGTACCACTGGTCTTCAAGGGATTCAGCCATCCCCTTCAACCTAATCCCACCCAGAGAGGGGCAGTGATGCTAGGGCTTCGGAGCACCTTCACTTCTTGTCAGGTGGCCTGGCATGGGGTTAAGGGGATGGACCCTGAGGTGAGCATGGGTTGTGACACGCCACTAAACTTGGAAGGATGCTGTAAGCACCGTACCTTTGCAGGTGAAACATTTGATGTGGAAATGTCTGGTCTGGACCCGAAGGACTTCGCCCTTGCATGGCTCCCCACATTTATGGCAGTGAATGACCGGCTTCTCTGATGGGTGGTGAGGGTCCTGGGGGTGCGCCACTGGAAAAAAAATAACAAGAGACCCATGTGAGTAGAGAGCATTCCTACAGAAGGGGTCATTCTGGGTGCACAGAAACAGATCCATAATACGTTATCCATGAAGCCACATGTTGATACAGGAAGGATGAATCAAGCCCCTTCCCCATGCTACGATCGTGAAGATACACAGAAAAAAATAAGAATTGTGGCTGTAACAGTCCAGTGAAGAAAACATTGGGCTTGTTCATCTGGGAGCCAGCAACCCTCTTTCTGCATCCCAACCTTTTCTAGGACTATATAACTGGGCCATTAAATCTATGATATTGTTTGGTTTAATATTTTGTAATATGTATCTGTAATATGTCTTTATCTTGGTTTAGAAACACCTTTCAGTGAGGAGTTCACTGCAGACTCTAAGCTCCTCAAAGAGGGGGACAATTTCTTAAAGTTCATCTTTTTTCTCCGCATTTGTACTCCTCTTTCCATCTCCCAGCTCCTTGGAACACAGCAGAATGCGCACACCCCAAAGGAGCTCAACAAATGTTTATTTACTCATTAGGTAGCACATACCAGCTAGTTGCTGGTCTAGTCTACCAGAGAGTCGTCCCTGACCTTCATTTGGCAACTCATTTAACCTGTTGGAGGCCTATGATGAGCCTCGTGTTGTGTGCACATTTCCTGATACACACCATGTGGGCAATGACTGAAAACAGAAAGCTCCTAATAACTATGTGGATCTCTCTACACTTCAGCTTCTTTTCCTGTAAAACAAAAGGAATTGCATCAGAGGATTTCAAAGGTCTTTTAAGGCTCTAAAATCATAGGATGGGGCTTCCCAGCCTTATTCTCTCAGTTTCCAGAAGGTTGGCCTTCAGAAAACGGAAGTTTTTATGACCACCCTGCCCCAGGGATAGGACTTACAGCCTCTCCTTTATAAAAGACAGAGAAGGCCAGGAGAGGACACTGTGGCTTTAAGCTGACCAAAGGTCTTCACTTAATTTACAATTCCTCCGGCCAGCCAGAAAATGCAGAGAGGCACTTTTTGCTGTTTTTTTTTTTTTTTTTCCTTGATTTGGGTCCTCAGGAGGAGGAACCATGTGATATACAGAAGTGTATTACATAAGTATCCACATGAGCGTGAGATGGGATAAGAACAGTAAACCTAAAATTAATCAACACAAAGAACAAAGACGATTTTTTTTTTCCAGCAACGGTAAAACCAGGTTGTGGGGGGGGGGGGGAGATATGGAGCGATATGCTGAGACTCAATTTAGAAAGCCTGTTCCAGCAAGGAGCTCACTGGACACTACAGGTATAATGGTGCATTGTTTCTCTCAGACCCCTGTAATGTTTCATTTCACCTGGAAAGAGTCTGAAACAACCCGGTCCAAATCATCCATTACTGGCTAAATTCTGAGAGACAAGGTGGTCCTTGTGAGATTTTGACTAGGAGCAGGTGTGGTTTCGGGTTAAACATCTGATCCAAATTCTCTGCACTGGGCCCGGGGAGTGTCTGCCAAAGGTCCGAACACTGTGACACACCTGCGTTTCCTTACCTGTCCCCTGGGATCTCTGTTCTAAAGGAACAGAGGGGCATCCTTTCAAGATGGCTAAAAACCCACTGACTTTTAAAGTGATGTGTAATGAGGCTCCAAATCTATTTACCTGGGTGTTAGAAAAAAAGTTTCTCTTAGGGCGCCTGGGTGGCTCGGTCAGTTAAGCATCTGACTCTTGGTTTTTGGCTCAGGTCATGATCTCAGGATCATGAGATCGAGCCCTATGTCGGGCTTCGCATTCAGCAAGGACTCTGCCTAAGGTCCTCTCGCTCTCTCCCTCTGCCCCAAATGCTCACATGCTCTCTCTAAAATAGATAAATAAATCCTTAAAAAGAAAGTTTCTCTTTAAAGTATCTACTTTAAGTGCTAGAGGGAAATATGAGTTTTTATTTTTTTAAGTTAATTCTTGCTTCCTATGAGAATGGAGGAAAGTGATATTTATTGAGCATCTGTCTACTAAATGCCAGGCATGGTGCTAGGTGCTTACCCGCGTAAGTCATCCTATTCTGTCCTCACCACTACCTCCCCCTCCCGGTGAGGTAGGTAATAGTGTTCCCTTCTGACAGATAAGTAAATAGAAAAAGTTCTATTCAACCTACCTAAGGAGCTATAAGTGGAAGCTTGAAGATCTACACGCAGGTCTTTCTGACTCCGAAACTTAGGCTTCTCCCATGCTATTTGTCTGAATCACAAACTGTTTTAAGTCAGGCAATGATTTATTGAGCTGAGCTCCAGTGTAGCTCTAAAAGCAGCAGCTAGGACACGACTGATGCAGGAAACACACAGTGTGTGTGACAAAGTACTGCTAGTGGGCCTAGCACCCAGTGGTAATCCTCAGGGTAGCTCTGCTGTTCCTCTCAATCAGAACCCCCTGTGCCAGAGATTAAAAATGCTGATTCCTCAGCCCCACCGAACTCAGGGTGGGAATTAGGGTTCTGTTATTTTAGTAAGCTTCTCAGAGGATTCTTATGCATATTATCATTTAAGAACTATTTTCCTTAAAGTTCCGACAATATGGATAAGCAAGTTACGGGAACGTTAGCGTGAAGAAAGCAATCCACAAGACCATCCTCTTCGGAAACAATATTGGAGCTCAGCGGATCTCTTGGCCATAAGGGAGAATGCTTTTTTGGATAAGAAAACTGCACTGCAGTTTCTCTTGACACTTGAATTCTTTATAGCTAAGCAAGTAAGCCATGCTGAGTAATGATGAGAGAAGGAAAATATCATTTCACTTCTTGGCTTTTCCCTCTGTCTCAACAAAGGTGCCAGTGTAACTGCTGGCACCAGTCACAAAGGTCAGAATTGGGATCAGCATTTGCATTTTGCAAGCATTTCCCTTTGGAAATATATATTACACTATGAAGTTCTCCGTGCCCAGAGGTGACCTCTGTTCTCACCCAGAGACGAGCAGAGCCCATATCATGTGTACTTGCCTTTCCGTCACATATCAGCCTAGGCAGACACGTATCAAGACCACCCCCTTGTGAAAGGATGGGGTTTTCTTATTAGAGAATTGATGGAATCCAAAGACCAAAAGAGAGTGTTCATTGCAACCCAAGAAGAGTGTCAACAAAAGAATCTCTTTCCTTTTTAAAGATTAATAAAGAGGTTCGTTTTACATAAGTGCCTTTGGCAGTTTGGTTAATACCAAATGTATGTTCATGGGCTCAATTTTACATTTTTGAAATATGCTGAGTCAGTTGCAATATGGCAATGTCAGTAATTCCACACTCCTCTCATTGCCAGCTGGCTCTGCTTCTAGCTTTTACATGACTGCTCCATCTTTCAGAGCTTGGGTGGTCCCTACTTAATCTACTGCTAGGGAGGATGAGGGTCGAAGAATTTACATTCCTTGCCCAAAGCTACTAGCGAGTAATCAGCAGACAAATATGTAATAGGCTTCCTGACTCATTCCACTGTACCAAATGGTCAATGATTTACCCTGGAACTTGCATAGGCTAGCTTCAAGTCTCATGGCTCATCAATTCATTGCTAAAATAAGAGTATAACGAAAGACCAACAGCGTGGTTGCATACGCTCTGAATAATGAGCAAATATATATGAAGAGCTAAGGGTCCATTTGCCCAAAAAGGTAAAGGGACTCCTCCACTGTGTAATATCCTATTTGGAGCGGCTCTGACTACTCAGATAAACAGCCACTGCAAGCTGAAAAGTTTCACATTGTCCCAGGCAAGCAAGGGAAGACAGTCACATCTCTGAAACTCCGGTTAAGGACAAAAGCCCAAAGTGCCATTTTGGATAAGTAACTTTTGCAATACCTATGAGGTATGACAGGTGAGAAAACTGGAGGACTGAATTCAGTAAGGAAGTCCCATTAACCTTCAGCAGCCCCAGCAGAGGCCAATACAGGCGGTACAAATGCCACAAAGGGGGACACCTGGGTGGCTCAGTGGTTGAGCATCTGCCTTAGCTCAGGGTCGTGATCCCCGGGTCCTGGGATCGAGTCCCACATCAGGCTCCCCACAGGGAGTGTGCTTCTCCCTCTGCCTGTGTCTCTGCCTCTTTCTCCATGTCTCTTGTGAATAAATAAAATCTTAAAAAAAAAGAATGCCACAAAGGTTAGACAAAGCCTGCCCTTCTAATCCAGAACCAGCCTTGTCTTGCCCAACAGACCGTGGATCTAGACCCCCTAGAACTGGAATATCTGAGAGAGTGAAAATCTCCTTAGCAGGTGACGATCACAAACCCATGACAGAACATGCAGTGTGACTTAGATCTTGCCCCGGATTATCTGAGAGCATCACGACCCCCTCCTGGGTGCCCTCCTCTCCCAAAGAGCCTGGGACTCCCTTAGCCAACCTTTGAAACTGCAGCACTTTGTGCCCAATGGCTTTCCTAGAGCTCACAACTACTTTTTCTCATTTCACTCTCTAAGAGCCCCAGGAGGCAGGAAGAACAGGGACTGTCAGCCCCCCAGGTAACAATGGACAGAGACTCAGAGGAACAAAGTGACTCAGCCAAGGTCACACAGCCAAGGAATGGCATTGGCGGGCCAACACATGCACTGCTTTCTATACTCAAACAATCCCCTAATCACTGCCACTTGGAGCCTTGAGGTCATCCTTGATTCCACCTTTTCCTCTTGCACTAAATTCTGTCCACTGTCACATCCCTGAGCTCCCCCTTCTCTTGCCATGTGAATCTAGCCTTCTACCCTTTTTTCTTAGAGTGTGGAAAGTTTACTACTCGTTGGCTCCTTCTTCTCCAAGGTGACCTGCAAAGAGTAGTCCACACAAAGGATGTGGCATATAAGTCCTCACTCCCAAAGTGTGGGCTGTGTTTGGTCACTTCTTCCAAAGAGGGCAGTATGGGTAAGGGGGAAGAGAGTGACTTTATGGTGGGCAAACCTGATGAGCACTACCTCACCCAGGTGCTCAAGGTCAATATCAACAGTTCAAGGTGCTCAAGGTCATTATCAGTAGTGATAGGCATTGTTGATAG